AATATAGGGTTTTATTACCCGTGCGCTAATATCCCTTAAAATGTTTCCAAAATCGTCATAATTCCGTGCAAATGTACATGCTGAACTCCGTTTTGGAGTTATCGACAAGAAAAAATCGGGCTTCTTGTTGGTCATTCGTCCCCCATTACTGCCATCATGAATCTCGATTCAATGCGGGATGCCTACGCCGGCGTAATAAGAAAATTTGGCCTATTTACTTCTTTTACAGACTTTCCTTGCAGAAAATCACTACGCACGGGTAACAAAACCAATATTTACCAAATAAATACACAATGATCATTATCATGACTAAGGGAAATAATCACTCATAAATTTACTAACTTGTTGATTTACCTCCCTTCACACTATAGATGGGACAGGAAATATATAAATAAATACACATTGATAATTATTATATGGTTTGAAAATGTTTGATGAAACAGTTGTCAGTGTGAGAAACGAATGATCGTTACTCACACCTTCCAAACGAACGTGTCGCCATAATTCTAACGAAAGCGAAACGGTTACTGCGTTTGCTTCCTTTTTTATGGAAGAGCGTAGAAGCATTATTTTTTACAATGATGTTCACCCTGCACAAAGCTCTAGAGCCACTCGAGGTAGAGGGTTACAGAGTAAGAGGTACATATTATGTGGGGAGGTAACGGTTGAATAGGTTAAGATTGTAGTGATAGGGAAAACATCGGTTTCACAGAGCAGTGGTTCGTGGGATGAAGCTCTTCGAGTTATAGCTTAATTAGGTTATAGGTAAGTCCAGCCCTGACTAACGGACTTTATTCATAAAAACTAAGAACTCTTAGGTAAAATATCCCTTTTTCTCTTACTAATCCTTAGAAACACAACAATGTTTTTATTTCGTGTCGTAACAAAGTGGTACTACAGTTTGAATGGGCGTGGTTGCTCTTGGTCACATATTTGTAGCAGTGTGGGGGTGAGTGAAGCTATTTAAAAAATGTTCTCCCAGGTATTTTGAATGAGAGTAGAGGTTTATCCCTTGTTTCCTGTTTAGGATTGGGTTTCCGGTTCCTTCTAAAGTCTACTGATACGCTATAATTCTAATATATCCAACTGAACTCTGAAATATTATTCACTAATTAAATCGATCTCTTCAAGTCTCGAGTTAGCCATTATCTATCCTGCATAGCCCCAAGAACTTCATTTCTTTTTAATTTTCTGCTCATACGGCATCACGCGGTAACATTCTACCTTGAGTGCCTCTTGAGCCTTCTACTGAGTGAACATTATTAAAAAAAATTAAATATTAAAAAAATTGTGATGAAGAGGCTGAAGATTTTGAAAAAAAAAATCAATTTTGAACATGTGGTAAGATTTTATAAATATATTTTTATATAAATAATAACATAATTCAAGCAGGGTGAAAATATATATGTGCACACAGACAGCAGAAAATGGATGAAAAACATTATAGTCTTTGCTGTTAGGTAAAAAGTATGTGTGTTTGTGTGTGTATTTGTGTGTGTGTGTGTGTGTGTGTGTGTGTGTGTGTGTGTGTGTGTGTGTGTTTGTGTGTGCGCGCGCATGCGTGTGATGTCCACATGGCTTGATTGTAATGAAGTTTATTGGGCGACTAAAAGGTCTGCACGGAAGGAAATAGTGACGAGTTGTCGCTACTTTATTCGACGTCAAAGTGGAAGAGGGTTCATTGCCCCATCCTTTTTACAGTTCTGAAGTAGCTCCACCTAGCGGGCGTCGTGACAAACAAGGTGGGAGGTAATCCCAACAATGCGAATAGTATTTAGACTTGATATGTAATTCTCTGAATTTATTAATTCATTGTAAATAATTCAAAATTATTTTCGTTATCGATACAGAATCGTGACGTGTTATTGTAACGAGGCCCTTATGGTTGCATTTCTTCACGTAAATACAAAGTCAACATTCCATTTCCATCTCGTAAATAGTGCCTGCAAATATTTACTGAGAAAGCGAAAAGCTGCACATCAGAACAAATTAGTTTTTTTCTTCTTCCAAATACACCCTTAACCCATACACTACAATCAAAAAGTGTCGGAAAATCCTGCTTTTCTTTAAAAAAAAAATCACCTTAAAATGAGATATTTTTTGCATTTTTTTTTAAAAGTAAAAGATAAAATTTAACAAAAATATAAACACTTAGCTACAAAAATATTATCATGCAGCAACATTATATATTTTTGTCAATAAAATCACCACTTGCTTTACAAATTCTTGGAAATTTTTTCCTACAGGTTTTGAAGAAAAGTAGTTGACAGACCTTCCCAAGCATTCTTCAAGCGCTGAAAAAAGCTCGCGCTCCCTCTTTAAGTATTCTCTTCGAAATCACCTATCCAATTTATCCTATACTAATTCAATAGGAGGGGGGTCAGGAGATTGAGGCAGCCAAGTCATAATCTCCAACATTTTGTTTCTTTTTTTTTGACTCGTGGTAATTTTGACATAATTTAGAAGAGTGTTTTGTTATTGACTTATAGAATGGTGTTCCCCCTCCCCCAATTATACTTAAACCAGATGGTATAGCATGTCTTTGCAAAATCAAATGATATTGTTCTTTTGTCTTAATTCCTAGTATTTGAATCAAATCTCTAGCCTTCTCTTCTCCAAAACAATAAAGGTCGGCTGAAAACATACACTACAGATAAAAAGTTTAAGGATACCTGGCATTTCTTAAAAAAAACAAAAAAAACAACAACAACAACAACAAAAGTGAGATATTTTTTTAATTTTTAAAATAACAGATGTAGCCGTAAGTTCTATGTTAATAGTATCTCCTCTCGTACCTCGTTTGTGGAACACTCTTCCGGCTATCGAGGTTATGCGCTGTTTTCCTCTCTCCCTCTTGCATTCAATCTGTCCTGTGAGTATCAAATTTTCTAAGCCTTCTTCCTCATTATGTACCCTAGAAATTTTTAACTGTCTCTTCCTGATCTTAAATCTAAGCGTCCTTCTAGTTTCCATTTTCTCTAAAACTTCGTCGTTGCTCATATTTTCGGTCCATGGTATTCTGAGCATCCTTCTGTAGAACCACATTTCTGTTGCTTCAAGTTTCTTCTTCTTCTCTGAGGAGATTGTCCAGCATTCACTGCCATATAGGAGAATCGATTTCACGGAACAGTTCAGTACTCTTTTCTTTGTTTCTAACATTTTTTTTTCAGTTTCTTAATAATTTGCTTAGCTTTTGGAAGGCAATGCGTCTTCGAATTTCATTGTCGCACTTTCCGTCAAAACACTTCCTCGATATTTAAATGTTTATACTTGATTTGTTTTGGTATCTCCACTTTGTAATGTTGGGCTATCCCTTTTGCTAACAAACATGCATTCCGTCTTCTGTAGGAGTTATTTTAATTTCCTTTCTATATTTGCTATCAACACTCTGTCATCTGCATATCTTATGTTGTTAGAACTGTGGCCGCCAATAATGAATCCTGGTAGGACTTCTAATTCTCTTAGAATCGCCACAGTCTATAGGTTGAATATAAGTCCGGTGAGAAGATACATCCTTGTCTTATACCTCTTTCTATTTTCACCGGGTGTAACAGCAAAATTGTCCAAATCGTGTAACAGCATCGGATAATTATCCATCCCACATAATTTTTAATAACTAAAAAAAAAAAAGCAAAAAAGAAAAAAAAAATCACAAAATTGACTTTCTTTCTTCTAGGTTTTTACATAAGACATTTAGCCATCTTGACATCATTTTTCGTAGGGACCAGTGAAAAACCTTTTGAGTTATTCAGCTAGAAAGAGAACAGGTTAAAATAGTTTTGTGTCAACCCCACTATGTCTTCCCAACGATGCAACAGTGAGACGAAAAAATCATTCAGGCCTTCAATAATGGTACGAATATTCATACTCTGGTTTCCATCTTCAAAGTCCATTCAAGAACCATCAAGAGAATGGTGAATAATTTAAAAAAAGAGAGAACACTGGAAAGGAAAACTGGATCGGGAGGTCAAAAGAGCAAGAGGGATCATTATTACAACTTAGAGCTAAATACATTCTTATTGTTCAAAGTAGAGTCCAATAGTGTTGTAAAAATCTTGGAGAATTCCAGTAAGATATCTTTAATCATTTCTAAGATACAACGGTTCAAAGCTTAATCTAACAATTGGACAATTTTGCTATGATACGATTTGGACAATTTTGCTTTTACACCAGGTATATATTTATTGAATTAATTTTCTATCCGTCAGTATCTGTCTATATTTATGAGATAAAGTATTGTAACTATTTAGACTATTTACATTGTTGGAACTATTGTCCTCATCTTTATATTCACGACATTTCCGCCGTTGTATACTCTGGCCTCCTTCAGATGATATACGTTGGAATTTCGAACCGAACCCTTTATCCCAAAGACACATGGCCCAGTGGATAAAAGTGTTTGTTTGCTGCAAGTAATCCAAAAATGACTTGACCCAAAGAGTTGTGAGTTCAATACCTAGCCACCGCAGAAGTGAACAAAAAAACAATTGGAAAGTTGAGTTACTAAAAGGTAATTAACTGAAAATTGAGATATCCAGAAAAAGCATGGCACGTGGAATTAGAACAAGCTACTCCTGTGGACTAAATAAAGGGTTCGTTTCAAAATTCCAGCATATATCACCTGGAAAAAGTCCGGAGCGTATAATGGCCGAAACGTCGTGTATATGACATTAAAGACGAGGTGAAGAGTGCGCACAATGTAAATAGCGTAAATATTTTTCTATGCGTATTAATCGTTGCTTCAGAATAAATAATTCATTTTTAATTAGCGTGATTTATTTACCAAAATAAATATATAAATAAAAAGTACAGTTTGCTTTCTGCTTTAATGCGATTTCAAAGTTTTATAAATTCCACTAAAGTGAATTGTAACAACGATAAGCTACCCGTAAAGAAATAATACCGTGTTTAATTCTATTTTTCATCAAAATTCATTTTATTTCTTTTACTTATTTTCATCAACAGAACTGTTTCGGGATTATGGCCGATTCACGTTGAAATTCCCCTAAGTTCACTGGAGTTAAGCAATGTTGAGTCTGGTCAGTACCTAGATGGGTGAACGCTTGGGAATACCAGGTGCTGTAAGCTTGGATGTGCAGAGGGTGTAATGGATAATGTCTCAGAATTGTAAACCGGAGAGCCGAGTTCCAATTCATTGAGTTCGTTATATTCACTTACGTACAGATACCCTTAGAAAGGCATGAATCCACCACTTCTTCCGCAGCTATGGGTTAATTAGTAAGATTTGCATCATTAAACACTTTATTAAGTAAAAATAAATAAATAAATGAAATTGCATTCAAAATATTTTAGATTTCGGCATTAAATAACCTGTCGAGGTTGATATGCCGCTAAACAAAATCAACCAACCAAAAATACCTATTTATAGTAAAATTACCAACAATACGTATTTAAATCAAAATTACCAACAATATATTTCATCTGTAGTTAAAGGTATACAATTGCGTTCAAAATATTTAAATTTCGGTATTAAATATCCCATAGAGGTGTTGATATGCCTCTAAACAAAAGCAGCCAACCAGAACTGTTTCGATCTGAAATCAGTGTAATCTCATCTTCAGTATGGCGGCTCGTTTCCGAGTATGACTGTCTGTTCATGCCTATTTATGTTTCTTCAAAACCTACAGTGCCAGTCTATGGTTTATATATAGTAGTTTATATGCCGAGCGGACCTTAGATACAGTACAAGTTCCTGTACCGCCAGGACAAAAAGAAACGGTTTCGAATTCAGAGTTGTCCTTCTCCTATACTAACCGCCAAACACGGCTAAAGAACCCTGTGCTGCTAAAAATGGGAGCGGGAGTGGGGTGAGGGAGATTGAAGAGATGGATCCGTGCCTTTCTCTTATAGTATTTGTGCGGAAGTGAATATAACAATCTTGAACCGAATTCTAACTCGGGTCACCTCTTTTTCTCGTTCGCACTACCCGTACATCTGCATCTTCTTTTTCATGAACCGGGTCTCCTCGGGACGTAGGCGATCATGGCTCTCCACAACTTCCTGTTCCTTTTTGCTCTTATTAAATAAAAAAAAAGATTATTTATTTTTATTATTTATTTAATTTTTATTTTATTTATTTATGTTTTTTTTCTTTCTTTTTACAGACAACACCATAATGAAAACATCGACAGACGAAGGTGCGGTAAAAAAATGGACTTAGCACATGTCTCAAATAGGTGACATACTTGATCATGCTGCTGTTACCGGTGTGCTGCATACTGTCTACTGTCCTGCACATTGGTATGGGCGTGGACCTCACCTATTACATAGAGGAGGGACGAAGTCCTGGCACTTACATCGGTGACATCCCGGCTGACATGCACCTCCTAGAGAGCATGTCACTGGAAAATCGTCGCCTGATCACGTTCAGCCAACTGCTGAGTGACGGCCCTAAGTTATTCCGCGTTTCCAAAAAGACAGGGAAACTGTACACTGCGCAGATGTTGGACGCCGAACACCTGTGTAGCTACAACAAAGAGTGTTTTAAGATCATTAAGATAGCTGTCCGACAGGCGCATATCTTCATGAAGATTGTCAAGATCAAAGTGGTGCTTAAAGATGTCAACGACCATCAGCCAGAATTCCCTGTCAAGCAGATCAACATTGAATTTGAGGAAAACGACGGGAAAGGGACCAGGGTATCGATCCCTAACTCAATCGATCGGGACGTAGGAAGTCTTAATTCTCAGATAACGTACCAACTGAAAAAGAACAAAGACGAGCCGTTTACATTGGCCGTTTCTAAAACCGTGCACGGAATGGCTGAGCTGAGCATTATACTCGGAGACTCCCTCGATCGAGAAGTGAAAGATTCTTACGATATACAGGTAATTGCTAAAGACGGTGGCTCGCCGCCCAAACAAAGCATATTAGACGTCCATATCTCAGTCACAGACGTGAACGATAACACACCTGTATTTACGCAGAACGTCTACAACGTGTCCATCAGCTATGAGCACGACGTTTCGATACCTGTGGCAGTTTTGTCGGCAAGGGATTTAGATTCGGGACCAAACGGTAAGATTTCTTACCATTTCAGTTCCAAGACTTCTGATCGCACCAGGAACCGTTTTCGAATTGAGAAAGCAACCGGAAAGGTTTTTTTGCAAAAACCGTTCACATCGCAACAAAAGCAAATATACGAACTCTATGTGAAAGCCTCGGATGGTGCCAGCCCTCCTGCAAGTTCGATAGCGCAGCTTCTGGTGAATGTGATAAGCGAGCAGAATAATGCACCGACAATAGACGTTAACTTTGTGTCCGCTTCGATGGATAACACGGCTGCTATTTCTGAAAATGTGGCAGTCGGCAGTTTTATCGCGTATGTGATGGTCACTGATCCGGATTTTGGACCAAATGGAGAAGTCAGCTGCAGACTCCACCACGATAAATTCCAACTGCAAAGTCTTGGTAAGAATGAGTGGAAAGTGACTGTGAAAAAACCGCTGGACAGGGAAACCGAGGATCACCATGATGTCATCATCCATTGCCAGGACAAAGGAACCCCGGCCCTACACAGTGAAAGCAAGTTCTCTATCAAAGTCATGGATGTCAACGACGTACAGCCACAGTTCTCGAAAGAGACGTTCAAATTCTGGATCAATGAAAATCTCAAGTCTAAATCTCCTGTTGGGGTGATCAATGCCACAGACCCGGATCTAGGCCCCGGGGGTAAGTTAACCTATTTTTTGTTGAGCGACAAAAAGGATTTCCTGCCATTTCAGATTACCAACGACGGACATATCACGACGATAATATCGCTAGATCACGAGTTCCAAAACGTCTACAAGTTTCAGGTTTTGGTGAAGGACAACGGCGTTCCTCCTTAAATCGAACCGTGAACGTTATCGTGGAAGTGCGGGATGAAAACGACAACGCTCCTTATTTCACTTTTCCCAACGTCAACCCTTTCACCATGGCGGTTGTGTACTACCCGCACAACACGAGGAACATTACCGTGCTAAGGGCGCTGGACCGGGACAGCCGGCAGAATGCGTTTCTTAAGTACGAAATAACAGCGGGAAATGACAAACAGTTGTTCATATTAAATCATTACACCGGCCTCCTGTCATTTTCCCGCGAGATGAACCAGCATGACGCTGGTTCCTATTATCTTCAGTTCATTGTCAAGGACAGCGGCAATCCGATCTTATCGGCCACAACCAACCTCTCATTAGTCCTTACAGTAAGCAACAAAAGTTCAGAAACACTCACTGCTGTCCACGTGCAGTCCAAGGAGACAATCCACATGTACTTATTAATCGTGATTGTGCTCGTGGCGGTCACCCTGTCCGTGCCAATCACGGCCACCATCTCCATCTGCTTCATCCGGCATCGCAATAAGAGACAGATACCCTTAAGAAACCGGGAGAACACGTTGTGCAAATGCTCTAACGAGCCGACTCACTACATGTGTTCCCCGCCTTTGGTCACTTACTGGCCAGATGTCCCTCCTCCACCAATAACGGGAGCGCCTGGCATTGACCGAGACGCCCTCCAGCCAAGGTCAAGACGAGGAATCTACCCAGGAGATGAGTTGGATAACAAACTCAATTGCACGGCTTCTGGAAATATGCTGCAAACGTCCCCCGAAGGAATATATCAGGTAGGTGTCTCCTTGACTCCTTACAATTGTAAGGAATTTTCTCCACTCATTTGGATTGTGAAACCGTTTATCTGTGTCATAACATCTTTTGTTTGGGTTATAAAGCAGCCTAATAGGGCCTACATGAACAAATTAAAGTGACATTTTTTGTCTGCTTCAATCAGGCAGTATCCGCTATATATCGTATATGAGAAGCCTTTCAGAGTAAAGTTTTTTTTTAATTCTTTCGTCCCATGCAAAATGATAATGCCACTATGACTCAAGGTGTTACAAAGAGTGACAGAGACTAAGACATTAGTGGGGAGAAAGGACAATAATAGACCAGGTTTCAGGAAGGCAGCAGATAACGATTGACATTGCATTTAAATTTTTGAAGATCAATGTTGGCTGGAAATATCCTTAATAATGTTTATCTTTTTACTTATTCTTTCACAATAACTTCTTGTGTCTTAGTGGCTTTACTGCCTTGCATGGGCGAAATGATTAGGCAGCTGCCTCCAGTGTGCAACAAATAGACAATTAGGAAATTAAAGCCAAATACATGATTGTCCCAATTATACAACGTAGACTATAAACAAGAGCAATTTGGCCCAATTAGGAAACTGTCCCAGTTATACAGTGTGACACAAAAAAAGAGAGAAATTTAACAATTTGACCAAATTCGGCAACTGTCCTAATTATACCATGTGACATATAGACACGAGAGCAATTTGGCCCAAGTCAATAACTGTCCCAATTACATAATGTGACACATGAACAAGAGAGAAATTTGACAATTTGAACCAATTCGGCAATTGCCCCAATTATACAATGTGACATATAAACAAGAAAGCAATCTGACCTAATTAGATAACTGTCCCAGTTATAGAACATGACATATAAAGAAGTGAACAATTTGGCCCAATTAGGCAACTATCCCAATTATACAACATGACACATAAACAAAAGGAATTTCATTCAATTTGACAACTGATTGTAATTGTAGTGATCAGGGAAGCATTTACTCAAGAGTAGGAGTTCTTGAGAAGTTGTTTGAATAAAACTTTCTTTTTATTAATGAAACATAAAGGGAATGACAATGATTTGTCTCAGTGGCAGCTTTTAGATGTGAAGGCCTGAACTGATGGAACTAATGAATGTAGCTTATCAGAACATTTGCCATGGAAATAGAGACAGAGTCGGGAGAGGCTTGCGACATTTTGTCTATTGGGATATGTTCCAGTGTATGTGGAATGACAGGTCTTATAGCTGTGAAGTTGTAAAATCATCATTTTGACACACCATTTTTTGTGGCTATGAAGGTTAAAGATTGTCCAGATTTTTATAACATATTTTCAGATAAAAAAACAAATATTATGGTAGTTATCATTTCTGAAAGATCCTGATGTTACCATTGACTTTATGTAGAAGCCCTGCTCACATTTGATCTGTATCTAATTCCTACCTCAAGAATTCCTGCTAGCACTTCAAATGCCAAGTCAAATAATAGTGTTTAACTGTTAGTTTCCCTTTCAAAATCACCAGACATTCCAAGAGAAAGTTTGGGGTAAAAAAATGAGCCCCAGATTCCAATTCATCGGACAGTAATTTTCTTGCACATCTGGCCAAATGATAATTTCTTTCTTTTTTCTTTATTTATTGACTAGTATGAGTTTCTTGTATTAGAGAAAGAGAAATTAGGAAACCTGGACCAAAAGAGATTCACCATCACAAGAAATTTGATGTTAAGAGATTGCTGCTTTCTTGAAGCACACACACATATATACATATGCACTATATATATATATATATATATATATATATATATATACCTAGGGCCAGACAAACCCACCTAGGTTTCACCTAAACGGATCGTCAGTGAAATTTGGCTGACGATCCGTTTAGGTGAAACCTAGGTAGGTTTGTCTGGCTCACTAGGTGTATCTAGGTCTAGGTATTGAGCTCTTTTGTTAGTTAGCTGTTTACTCATATCGGGGTTTTTTCTTTGGGCTTCAAACCTGCATCTGTGCGATTTTTTTGGACAGACTTTCATGTTTGTAGCTTTTTCTTTTTTTAAAATCTTTTTTTTCCCTCGAGATTGATTTGATTATTGGCAAATCAAAAATTTGAGGGTTTTTCGAAACGGGTATAGTTATCTATATTTGTATGTATGTATATATATATATATATATATATATACATATATATATATATATTTAAATAAGTTTTTCATGGTACAGAATTTAATAATAGATAGGAAAAGACAATATTTATAAGACATTTTTAAAAGCAAAAGCTAAAATAAAAACAACCAGTTTCGTCCCAGGACTTATCAAGTTTATTTATTCTGGGAATTTAAAAAAGCGTGTAAATTAATTTTTAATTAACGAATGTAATCAAATGGGAAAAAAAAAAATTATGAATTTCAAGAAACTAGAGTCCAATAATTTTCAGAGCCAGCAAGCATTCTCTCTGTTTACAAAGGAAAGACTCACGGGATCTGATATACAAGGACTCTAGAACCTTGAGGTGAAATGTGGAGTGGGACCTAGATAAAATTATAAATCGGTCACCACTAAAATTTTCCACACATTTCCTTCTATTTATTAAATGTTCAGCAATAGCAGAACCAGAACTGTAAGTCAGTTGGCTATTCCTAGAGGACGGATTCAAAATCCTGGGGTGCTGTTTTATTCAAGCGAATCCAAATATATATATATATATATATATATATATATATATATATATATATATATATATATCCATCTGCAAACAGACTGTTTTGCTGTATCACAGTGTGGCTAGACGTCCAATTGTTTCAATCAGCAGTCAGATATCCTACCGCTAGACTATCATTGCACAGAAAAGAGAAAGGGAAATTTTAAAATTTTCTATATGAAATATGCCAGTAGCCTGATATATATATATTTATGGATAGATAGATGTGAGTGTGCTTATATGCAACATTGCAGCATATTTGTGTCTATCATTATTATATATAATATACCATTATATCTATCAATTTTTTTTATTTGACATTATTTCTTTATTACAATATAAGATGCTGGAAAAAATGGACCATTCCCTAACTCCTCCTGCTATTATTAACTTTTACAAGAGCCAGATCAGACTGAAAATGGCATACTGTTGCCGTATATCACTAGGAGCTGCTCAGTTTACACTTTCCAGTCTCAATGAAGTCCAAAAGCATCCCTGCATCCTGTTGGGTGACAAATTATTTTCCACCTTTCAACCCCTTTCTCACGGATGAAATGTTACAAGTCTATCACTGATCTATTGCTATTTCCATGAAAAGTGTTCTGATGGACTACATTCCTTTGTTCCTGCAGTTTTAACCTTCAGTGCTAATACATGCCATGTCACGCACATTGAAGTTAACCACCCTCCTTCCCTTTGTATCCCATTGGCGTGACGTAAGTGAGCAGGTTCTTCCCATGAGCCACTGCTTTGTGAAACCAACTCCCTGATCACTACAATCTTAATCTGTTCAATCTTAGGGTCAAACTTGATCTTCCCCACATATTCCCCAAAAATTGTGCCTCTTACTCCATAAACCCTCTATCTTGAGTGGTCCTTGGTCATCGTACAGGGTGAACATCATTGTAAAAAAAGATGTTATTTCTAGTGGGTGTACATATTAATAATTAATAACAATTACAATAATTATTATTGATTTCACTGTTTAAAAAAACAGTGAAATCAATAATAATATATATATATATATATATATATATATATATATATAATATAATATAAAGGCTCAAACACTAATATTCCAAGGTTATAATTTATTACATTGGAATCATAGAAAAATTTTTTAAATTTGTAGATCTGATGATTTGGATCATGATTACGATTCCAATGTAATAAATTATAACCATGGAATATTAGTGTTTGAGCCTTTTATATTATATTCTTACACTGTCCTGGATAGTGAGTTCTACCTGGATTCTATCCTCTTGAAATTTATACATATATATATATATATATTCTTTCTTTTTATTTATATACATTATATATATATATATATATATATATATATATATATATATATATATATATGTTTTGACCACTGATATTTTTTTTTATATATATATATATATATATATTTTGATATATATTAATTTTTATAAATATATATATATATATATATATATATATAATATATATATACACTGAAATAAATAGTAAAATATTTGTTGAAATCATACACGTTAAAAAAGTGCTGATTTCAAATAAGAAAAATCAAACTTGTAGAGTGATTTTATATCTAAGAAATATAAAATGCTGACCAGAACACTATAGAACAATAAGGGTAAAAAAAACACTAACAATGGTTTTGTATACACTTCAGAAAGAAAATTATATTTTAAAGAACATGTACATACACAGAAATAAAATATTTTTGTTTATTTGTTGAGACACACACAGTTTGTCCGAGTACTGTACCTGGACATCTGCTTTGTTTGGCCGTCAAAGACGGAGAGAGAGAGAGAAAAATTGATTTCTGTTTCAACTGTCGGCAAATTCATATTTTGTTAACTATTTTTTTTATAATCTCAGTTTTCCTTTCTTATTATTAATTATCATTTTTATCTATATTTTAAAATAATTTTATGACTTAATGTTTAATTTTTCTTTTATTAATTATTTATTATTTGGGTTTCATACTCCTGCATAGTCTAGTACTAAGAGTTAGGAGTTATTTAGGGTTTTATTTGTTGCTATCACTACACTGTTTTTGGCCAACAGGATGTACAGTCATCTTTGAATAGTCAGATGTCAGTTTAACTAGAAAGAAACAATGCAGTTATTAATAAGAAGAGTTGAAATTAATTGCAACATTTCACACAAGAAGCCTCAAACTGTCAGCTCACTCTCATACCTGGAAAAAAACAATTCAGTTATTAATAAGAAGAGTTGAAATTAATGCATACAAGATTTCTTCCTAGTCACTTCTTCCTAGTCAGCCTGAACTTTTCAGCCCACACTTGTACCAGGAAAGAAACAATGCAGTTATTAATAAGAAGAGTTGAAATTAATGCATACATTTCACAGCTCTAGCATCACTTCTTCCTAGTCAGCCCTATGAACTTTTCAGCCCACACTTGTACCAGGAAAGAAACAATGCAGTTATTAAT